AGTAGCAAGCAATTTGTCTTAAATACATTACAAAATTGATAAAGCTGGCTACAGAGGGTTTGGCTTAGTCTTCCTAATGCAGATTGTTATTTGACATATAGTGAAGGGACTTCCCTAAAATAAGTGCTGAAGTAGCTTTCTAGTCAGTGGCGATGGTTATATGAAGCCTTTAGGCAAAGATTCTGTCCAAGTAGCTGAAGTCCTAAACTTCTTCAAGGTCCTTCAAGGTACCTGCTTTTATCCATGGCCTATATGTGGAACTCATATTAGTATGGCTGATTTACTAGACCCCTACAATGCAGATAGAAATTATATGCCTGATTTAGGCAGACTGAATCCCAGTCAGTGCACCTTGGGCAACTGCACAGTATTAAATAAAACGTTTTCACCTGGATCTTGTTACCAAGGTGAAGGGCAAAATTAATTGTGTTATAATGTGCACAGTACAGTTAATCAGAAAAACAAAGAGTATTTGTATTGCCTGGAAGTATTGTTCACTGTTAACATCACAGAGCACTGATAAAGTTTGATAAAGTTGTGTTGGGTTTTTTTTCTTTTAAAGTATCTCTCTAAATGTTTTATGTCTTTCAAGGAGAAGTGGCACTAAGGCTAGAAAACTCATTATTTGCTCATTTCGTGTCAGGACAATGTCTTTTATGCTTTTGAACGTTAAATTGTTAAATGTTAGTTCTCTTTGCACTTTTACTGTCCTACCTGTCGTGCTAACAAAGATTTGCTGTAGTGGGCAAGGTGCCTGCATCGACTTTAGCCATTGTCTTTAGAGAGCATGTGCATCTGTTCATCGTGTCAGCTGAATAACTGAGCTGGCTGATCGCTGTGTCAGCAAGCTAGGTCTCTCTTCCATGTCCGTAAGTCTCCAGCTCTAAACATACTTGACAGTTAGCTGGTGACCTTAGAAAGTCTTTTCATCTCTGACTCCACAAGTGGTAGCATGACTGCTGGGAAAGTGTTTTGGCAAAGGTAACAATAGCTTAAAACACATTGATGTTAAAAGCAAACATCTAAATGCATTTGTCCAAATGACAAAGATGAACCACTGTTCATGAAGTCTCATGCACAGCTGCAGTAGCTGGGATATGAACAGGCACTGACTTTTCTGCTGGTTTCCAGCCATTTTTTCCCCCAAATCTTTGGTGTTTAACAAACAGAAACTGATGTCTAGTATTTAAATGGATTTCAGAAGCTGGTGAAACAGAGGATATCACATTTCCTTATGTACAGTAAATAGGTTTTGTGACTTCCATCAGCAAAGCTTCCATCTAAGCATTTTTAATGAGATTTATGCTGCTGTCATGGTCTAATGCGTTATAAAAGCAAAAAGGTAAAAAGAATGATTGTCAGATTTTTAGTGGGCAGAGTATTTTAGAACTGCAGAGGGATTCCCTTGTTCTGCTGAGAGCAGCCAGGGTACGTGGGTGAATCCTGTGCTCATCCTACGCTCCTAGCTTGGAGCTCAGCAACCCTTTGCTGCATATTGTTTGTTGCTTTAAGGGAAGCTTTCATCTGAGAATAACAGTAGAGAATGGAGTTTTGATAACCAGAAGGTAGAACAGGCTGATAAAAAACAAAACCAAGACTTCTTCTTCTAGGACACCCCACCTGGAGTGTTGCATTCAGCTTTGGTGCCCCTGACACAAGAGGAATGTGGGCCATCTGAAGCGAGTCCAGAGAAGGGCCACAGAGATGATCAGAGGCCGGAGCACCTCTCCTGCGAAGGCAGACTGAGAGAGTTGGAGTGGATCAACCTGGAGAAAAGAAGGCTCTGGAGAGACCTTAGAGCAGTTTCCAGTGCCTAAAAGGGGCCTACAAGAAATCTGGAGAGGGGCTTTTTACAAGGGCATGCAGAGGTAGAACAAGGGGGGATGTCTTTAATCTAAAGTAGGGGAGATTTGCATTAGACATGAGGAAAAACAACATCACTGTGAGGGTGGTGAAGCCCTGGAGCAGGTTGCCCAGAGATGCTGAGGCTGCCCCATTCCTGGCAGTGTTCAAGGCCAGGCTGGATGGGGCATTGAGCAACCTGGTCTAGTGGAAGGTGTCCCTGCCCATGTCAGGGGAGTTGGAACTAGATGATCTTTCAGGTCCCTTCCAACCCAAACCATTATGTGATTCTCTGTGTTATGTTTCTTTTTTTGTTTGCTTTCTAGCTAAGGGGAGTAAGGGATGGAGGGCAACGGCCGTACTTTTCAGCAAATACATTTTCTTTACAAGAATGTGATTCCTGCAAGATGAAAAACTTGAGCATGGCTTTTGCTGTGCTGAGCTTCCAGGGCCGTGTTTCTGTAGCCCCTTGACTCCAATCCATGAAAGATGATTCAATTTGAAAGCTGTGCCTTAATGCTGACAAGAGCATAGAGAGAGTGGTCACCTGAACATCCCATGGAGCCCTGATGGGAATGGGAATAAAGTATTCTTACAATAACTTTCTGGAAAACCTAAAAAGCAGGCAAAACATAAGTACAGCAATTCTTTCTGTTCAAAACTTTGGTCCATGTCAGACCATTTTGTAACTGTCCCTGCCAGACCAGACTATAATGTGCAGGTTACAGAAAAGTAGGTTGAAATGGGTAGTGGCCCTTGGGGAGGATTGTAACCCATGGCAGGGGGTTTGGAACTAGGTGATTTTTAAGGTCCCTTCCAACACAAACCATTCTGGGTTCTGTAGTAGATACTCTCGATTGTATAAACACAACGAAGACCTAAAAGGGGATCAACTTGGGTCAGGTTTTACTTCTCCAATGTACTTGACCACTAGGCAAATAAGTAGTTAAAATTTGTCTACAATTCAAACTGGAAAAATGAGAACAGTTTTCACCAACAGAGCCTTGCCTCTGCAGTCTTCATGGTGAGCTGCCACATACCCACTCACACCATGCTGCATTTGAAGTGGTATTTTCTTGGTTGATAGCCAGCCAAATGCCTCAGCTGCTCATACAAATGGTTCAATGCAAATCAATGAGATTTTCTAGACAGAAGCAGTTAATATTTCATCAAGCAACTGCAGATAAAATTGCTGTGTCAGATTGCATGGCAAAGAGAGCTGTTGCCCTTGTTCAGAAAATTCTTTGCCAGGAGAGTTTTCAGACCTACCCATTTCAATAATCTGAAAAATTCTACCTTCACATCAGCTTTGATGTGTTCAGAGTCTCTTTGTGCTAGTCTATTTTGACACAGTTTTTATAGTTTGGAAGAATCAAAGATTAAACATGGTGTTTTCCACCCCCTGGCAAACTTCAGGAGGTGGGTTACTGCTACAGACTTTGCTCTGGTTCTGCAATTATCCTAATGTGTATAATATTAGCATAAGAGGTCAATATTATTACTCAGGTCCTTCTGAGAAACTTCTTGCTGTATGCTCTATTTACATAAGCATGTTCATGTTTGTGTCTGGATGCATTTTGGTTTTCCAGCTGATTTTCCAAGGAGAAGTGGGCCTTTTGCTGTATTCTGTTATCTTCCCCTACATGCAGAATTTGTCAGATTCCCAGAAAATGTCTGCCTTGAAACATATCAGTCCAATAACAGTGAAAAAAAGATTAAATTTTGCACCATGGTTTGATTCGACAAACCATATTTTTTTAAGAAATAGCTTGATTCTGCTGTGAAAAAAAAAACATGCCAATGAAGCACAACAGCTTTTTCTATCTCAGCCCACATGTCTGCCATTTTTGCCCCCACTCTCCTAAATATGTCTGTGTCACCCAAAGGACATAGTCCTGGGCTTTTGGCCAATATCCTGGGCTTGAATTCCCACATAGAAAAGCATTTACTTAGGAAAATAATATCATGTGGCAGCCGGTAGGCACAATACTACCTCTACTGCCAGAATGTACTGACTCTAAATGAAGCTGTGGCAGATGGCCTGAAATGTTTCAGTGCTTTCTTTCTGTAGACCAGGATTACCCAATTAATTTGTACTGTGGTGTTTTGGGACATTTTACTACATTCTAGTCAGATAGGTGGGATACACTGGATCTGGCTTTGCTGGACCAAGCCGGGTCTTCACATGGGGTAAGGGCAGTGTACAGCCAAATCCCTGTGACTGCAGGTTCCTGGTGGGGCTGAACCAGTGGGAAGAAACATGGGATCATCCCTCTGGACACCTGGGAAAACATCTGTTGGAATGAGAAGAAATGGACTCCAGGTTCAAATCATGACCAAGTCCACTACTTGGGTAGCCCTGATTTAGATAAGGGTGACATTTTACTTGCTAATGATGCTTTTATAATCACTGTGTGCTTGCAGAAGTAGCTTTATGTTACTATTCATTGAGTGCTGTTCTCATGTGTGGTTAATTGGTAGGTAGAGTAAAAGGCCAGTAGGACCTTTCTGTTGTTGTGATCAGATAAATCCATAAGTGAACAAACAGGTTATTTTCGTTAAGCAAGTGGTGATGCATAGGGAGATTTAGTATAGCTTAGGGAAAATACATGCGAAAGAACAAGAAAGGGTCAAATATGACGTTGAGGTTTGGAGGTTTGGGACAGAGAGAGGGTAGTGCAATCAATTTTAGCGTGTCAGAATAGTTGGTAGAGGAAAATGGCCAGCTATCATTTTGCTAGTTTATTAGAAGTAGTGACTTGGAGGTGTAACCTAGAAATACAGTCCATCGAATCAGAATTAAGCCAGCTGCATATTACTGGAATAGCTTAAGGAAAATGTCCTTGTCTGTTCTATCCTCTTTTCTGGGTACATGTTTTCACTCAGTTAAGAAAAGTCAGTGGAGTTGCATTTTAAAGTGTTGTCACTTCACAGTCTGTCATAGGGCTTTTTCCAGCTCCCTTCAAAAGGAGTTGGTGCCTAGAACTATGCCAGCTGGTGATCTGATCCTCCTTCCACTTTACTAGAAAATCTAAATATACAGCAATATGAGCTGAAATATGTCTGCTGTCCTGTTTTGCAACTATTCTGCATTTGAATGAAGAGCCACTTTCACATTAAAACAGTACTGAAGCTCTCTCTATCTTTCTGTTCTATAGGTTGTCATTTTGTATTTTGAGCCAAGTGTATTTCGCTGTATTCTCCTAAGATGGGTTCGTCTTCTGGGCTTTGCTACTGTTTATGGAACTGTGACCCTCAAACTTCACAGGTATTTCACATATTAATTTCCATCTCTGTGGGAGTATGTGCAATCTGTGTGGGTACGTAGATGGAAGAGCTGCAAACATTATCATAAACAAGCGCCGTTTCTGATTTTTAAAACTACTCTGTATTTCTCCTCATGATTGCTCAAATTGTATGTGACTAATCCCAGTAGAGAACTGTGAATGCAGACAGGATTTGATGAAAAATGTATACATCAGCTGTGAAATTGTACAAGAGCTCCTTTTCACAGGAAGTGAATATATGTTCCTTGAACACAGGAAATAGGTGTTTGTAGACTATTCAGAAGTTTCCTTGTGAAGTGTTCATAGATGATTTCTTAGTGTAAACTAAGATACAGCAATGGTGGGTAAAACAATGCAGTATGGTGTATATACTTACTATATTTTCTTATGGCTCATAAGTCAAGGGCTGCTTTCTTCAGGTGATCACAGAAGACAGACTACATGCTTACAAACATCAGTGCCTCTCAGCAAAAATGTGTGGGAAGTTCTGGGTTCCACAGGGTGGGCAGTACATTCATGTGTGATTCATAGACCCAACTTCAAGTCCCACTTCTACAGTCCCGTTGAAAATTGAAGCCTTTTCTGGGTATGCTGGATAAAATCTTAATGCTTTTTCCTTTTTAAACTGAAGTGCAAAAAATTACTGATACATTCTGTAAGTATGTTTATTGGAGCGAAGAAATCTGCCATGTGTATATATTCGTAATTGGACATCTTGGAGGAAGTAGCCTTGTTCATCTTTTTATCTTAACCTCATTACTGTGTTGGCATGTTAGAAAGACAAGGTTTGATATTATGCTTGTAAACTGAAGAAGGACTGAGATTATCTTGTGGTTTATGTTGCACTAATGGCATGTCACATTTTTGGAGAAAAACCCTGCTTTCCCATTGAAATGGAGCCTCTTCTTGCAGATCTCTTTTATTTGTGTCCCTGGTTAAAAGCGTAGACTTGGGCTGGTAAACTCTGACTGTATAATACTGTCTGGCCACATCTTTGCATTGAAATCCATACAGAAAATTCTACACCCTCATGGTATTTTCTGGGGTGAACAATTTCTGATGCAAAAAGAGTAACAAGTAGGGCACTGTAGAAGAGAGAACAGAACTGGTAACTTTGCTTGAATTGTTTGTTATCTGTAGCTCAGTTATATAAAGAAACAGCCTAAGACTATGGAGGACTCACATTGCCATTGCAGTTCTGCTGCCCTAAAAGGTTGTTTATATGATTTTACATGATGTGAGGAAGCAATTTTTTGACAGGGCACTTGATCTTCAGTTTATATGAAGTGAGGACAGGCTGCAAAATTGGGCAGAAAATCTTGCACTTCTGCTTTACTTATTCAGCTGTTTGGTGCTACTTGTCACCTCTGCTGACAGGATCAGCAAACACGACAAAGACTGAATAGGAAACAAAGAACGAACTACATCCTCATCCTTGATCAGCACAAAAGAATGAAGGCTAGGAGCCTACTGGACTACATCAACAGGACAGCGGCCAGAAGGCTGGGGGAAGTGATTACTCAACTTTACTCAGCAAGCCTTTGACATATCTGCAATTCTGGGTCCAGTTTTGGACTCTCCCAAGGCATCAATGAACTTGAGTGAGTTCACTGAAAGGCCATCAAGATGTTCAGGGGTGTCCTGGGTTCAGCAGTAGCAGTCATTTTTCCCCTTCTTGGTAGCTGGTGCAGTGCAATGTTTTGACTTTCAGCTCGGGAACAGAGCTGATAACAAGCGATGTTTTGGTTTGGCCAAGGACTTTGTGAGCCTCATGCTCTGCCAGGGAGGAGGGGAAGCTGACCAAAGAGGTATTCCATACCACAGCACGTCATGCCCAGGATGTAACTGGGAGTTAGCCAGAAGGGCTGGGAGACTGCAGGGTTGGAGGAGGTATCGGTCAGAGCCTGGTCGGGCTGGGGGGGGCGAGTTATCGGTCGGCTGGTGGTGAGATGATGTATTCTCTTCCCTTGTTATTTCCTTTATCATTATTATCATTGGTGGTAGCAGTAGTGATTTGTGTTATACCTTAGTTACTAAACTGTTCTTATCTCAACCCGTGGGAGTTGCATTCTTTTCGATTCTCCTCTCCGTCCCTCCGGGAGCAGGGGGAGGGCAAGAAAGGGGGGGGAAGTGAGCGAACGAATTACCTGACTGGGTTTAAACCACGACAAGGGGTTGGAGCACTTGCCCTGGAAGGAGAGGTTGAGGGAACAGGGTTTGCTCAGCCTGGAGAAGAGGCGGCATTAGAGTGACCTAGCAGAAGCTGACACCTACAAGGAGGTTACTGAAAAGATGGATCCAAGCTCTTTACAGCAGCGTATATTGGGAGAACAAAAGGTGACGACAAATTGAAATGGGAGATTTCAACTTTTTACAATATGATTTAGCATCAGGGTCAAGGAAAACATTTTCACTGTTAGGGTAATTAGGCAGTGGAGCTGGTTGCCCATGAGGTTGTGAATTTCCATACTTGGAGGTTTTTTAAGACCCAACTGGATAAAGCCCTCAGCATCCTGGTCTCAATTCAGCGTTAAATTTGCTGTGAGTACTGGATGACCTCGTAGGGTAATTCCAACCTGAGTAATTCTATATTTCTTTCTGAAAAATGAAGAGAAAAAAAAGACCTAACTATTTAATACATGAATCTAGAATTATATTCTCTAGGAATTTATCTTCATATTCCTCAGATGGTCCTGTCCCGACCATTCATATCCTACATTCTTGATAGTGTGGTCTTTTTCGTACTTAATATTTCAGTCCAGGAGAGTGCCTTGCAAAAGACTGAATCAAGTTAGATAATAAGCCTTATTATATACACTTGTAGAAGTTATGCTAATTAGGAATAGTATAATACTAATAGAAATTTGGTAGAATTTTTGGCAGTCTAATGCACAATCATTGCAGGGTTGAAGAATGGCTTACTGCAGACACCACAAATACTCATGACAAGCACTGGTTCCCTGCTGCATGTAGCCTCTGTCTTGTCTGGAGGAAGAACTGATTGCTAGCAAGGAACTTGTGATTTTTCTAAGCTTAATGGGAAAACCAGTACTGTGTAAAAGCAGCTGTTAAGGATAACCAGAAAGTATAAGGCCATATTTCCCAACAAATGAGGTGCTTTGAGTAGCACTGGCACATGAAAGTTACCCAAAGTCAGGTAGGAGGCACCAAAAAACTTGTTTTCTTTGTGGCTTTTTTCCCTCATAGCTTCCCACTTCCCAGCCTTCTCTGAGGTTTTGTTATAGTCAAGCACCAAGGAGAAATCAGAAAAGTAGCCAAAAGCAAATGCTTAAGGAAAAGAACAGGGAAGTTGTACTGATTCATTCTTTCAGCACCTGTCACAGTCAGTTTCTACAGTGCCTCCTCTTAAATTGCCTCTTTCTTATTCACTGTGCATTTTTGAAATAATGAGCTGATGTTTATGGGGGTGGAAGAATGGAGGTAAGGAAATGAGCTTAATTTAAGACATGTACCTGTAGAGCTGTGAACATAAAAATACTTTCCTCAATAATGAATTCTTCAAAATCGTTCTCTGAAGAAATAATGATGTCTCAGATTTAATCTTTTAGTTTTAAAAGAGCTGCTGATGTTGCATCTTTCAATATATTTCTGTGACTGAAGACTCTTTGTGTCCTTTTATGAGCACTATATTTGATGGACAGATTATCTCATTATTTTCAGTATTTCATGAACTTCTGCCATCTTGGTGTCAGGATTAGTACAGAATCCTTAATTCTGGGTTAAAGCATGAAAATGGAAGAAAGCCATAGGTTTATCCATACAGACATATGTATATGTGTGTGTGCATACAGAGGGCAGCTTACAGACAGTTTAGCAGAATGAAACCCAGGAACGGGGTCACTAGTTTGTGGGAGTGTCCATTTCTTACATTACTAGGAGAAACAGAGGAAAGTGTGGAAGTGAGGAGAATGAGAAGGTATGGAGAACATAATGTTCCAGGTATGGAACACAAGACAATGACATACAATGGCTTTTTTGTAAGTAGTGGTGGGATGGGTGTGTTAGTGGGAGGACAAGATCTTAACACTGTGAGGCAGTTCTGCGCTGCTTTTAAATGCTATGCTAAGATTACATTGCTGTGCCTTGCCATTTGGAACAGTCAGAGCACGTAGTGGCCCTTTCGACAGATCTTTTTAGATGATAAAGAAAGGATGATAAGACCAGTGTGGGTAGTGTGCAGTGGTGCACATATGATTTAGTGGTGGACATGATTTAGTGGTTGTCTTGGTAGTGTTAGGTTTAAGGTTGGACTTGGTGATCTCAAGGGTCTTTTCCAACCCAAAAGAGTGTGATTCTGTATGTTATGGTTTGGTATCTTACAGAGAGGAGACTGGTGCTAGCAGAGAAATCCAAGATGTTGTTTTGCTTCTTGAAGCACTTGGGTGGAGGTGTGCATTGATGGTGAGAACATGAAAGAGGAGGGCATAGCATAACCTCCTCTTGTAGCTAGGGAAAGGGAAGAAGATACAGGTGATTTATCTGACTCTCCTTCTGAGGGATTTGTGGGTCTGCCTATAACTGGATGATTTTCCATCTCCTGCTGAAAGCGTGCAGGCTGCAACTTGAGTTAGTATTGACCCCAAGATGGCTTTTTGTAGGAATTGGGTTTGAATTAACAGTTAATACAGAGAAAAACTCATGTTAGTTTTGTGCAGTTATGTAACAAATGTGTAATCTCAAGTTTCTTTGTAAACTTTAATTCCTGACAGTATAAACAAAGCTCAGTGACACTATGTTTCTGTATCTTTCACACAAGTGTCATGGCAGGAGGTTCGGTGTGCTGTTTCCCTGGTCCCATAGCTACATTGTGTTAAGCAGGAAAAGGGAAGGGGTATGTGGTCAGAGGTTAAGATCCCGTCAGAGAAGCAGTAAGTGCTGCGTCTGGTACACAAGTCTGTGCAGACCCCTGCAGAGAGGGAGGTGAAGGCATGAAGACTTTTTTCTGGAGAGGGGAGAGACA